GTTTCAAAACATCAGAAAAAAAGAAGCCTTTACTTATAATTATTAACTGATGACTTTTTTTAAGAATATTCTCAATCGTTGGGCCAAAAAGATATAACGTTTCCAATTTATTGTTGGATAGCCGGAACTACTTACCCCTGTAATCATTTCAGAGATGGGAGGAAGAGCTACCGAAACTTTATAACGATATTATAACAAATTTACTATTGCAGTTAGGTATAAGATGAAAAGATAGTGCGGGATTTAAAAATCAAAAAACCAAAAATACAGTTATCTGGTAAAATATTGTAAATATTACAGTTTTTAGTAGTATTTTGTCTTCTGAAGTTTCACCTAAAAAACTTGGATTAATTTCGAATAGACCTAAATCACTTTTGCAAAATTGTGCAATATTAAAAAATAATCGTATTTAGCATATAAATTATATGAAGTTTTGTAAATGAATGTGTAATGTTATGTTAGGTACTACCAAAAAATTTAAGATAATTATGACACAAAAAAATGTTTTTAAAGTAAACTTAAAAAATTGAATTTTCTATTCTAAAAAAATTTACTTAAATGTGTTATGGTTTTAAAAAAAACTATTGCTTATAAATGATTTTTTAGTATTTTTAAGTATGGTTTACCTAGGTATATTATTTAAGATTTTTATGCCATATATTATTTATTATTTATACAGTCAATATTTTAAATATATTTATTTCTATTACCTTTTTTTTTTATTCGGCTTATTTAGATTAATATCGAATTAATCCACGAAAAATCAATACTAATTGCTATTTACTAAATACTTGCTAAGTTATTTGCCTCGCCGTTACCCATGGAAACGAATCGTGATTATTTTTGATTAACTGTTTATTTTTAATGATTTATTAATTAATACCTAGTGTATTACTTATAAACAAAATATAGGTAATATGAGTAATCAAATTATAAAAAAAATCATTATAATTATTGATTATTTAATTAATATAAAGTATATATTATATACACTCCCTTTAAATATTATAGCTTTTGGAACTATAGTTATTCATTAAGTTAACAACGATAAAGTATATATTTTACGAAACTGTCTCAAAAAGTTTATGTGATTGAACTATAAACAATAATTGTATAACATAACAATATAGTAACAATAGACAATATAATATCATACTTGTTTCATTGATGTATCAAACTATACTAATTTGATTTAAAATCTAAAAACACTCTGAATGCAAATATATCCCAATTCAAGTAAAGGCTGAAAGGCGAAATACATTAAGTACAAAACACTTTATGAACAATTTAATTTAATATATCCTACTCAAAATAAAGGGAGCTAGAAAATGGTTCATTTTTATTTCGAGTGCAAAAGGGTACCTAACGTTACGTTTTATTGTTTCGAAATGATACCTGTTAAGTCATGTTGATGTATCTTTATAAGTTATAACCAACGGAGGAATTTTCTTTGTCCCGGGCTTATAATAAATCTGATGCATTCCCAATATTCTTTGGATAGCAACGTGGAGAAAAGATTAATTCGTGTGATTTTCATTCTATGTCTACGGATACGTAAGTGATTTAAACAATACAATCTGATGTTTTGTCTGTAATTGGGAGTGTTTAATATTTAGCTCATGATCGGAACTATAAAATTGTTGCTTTTGCGATGGTTGATGGAAAACTTTCACTCGGGTGGTACCTAATCTAATGGGAAGTTTTTTGAAAATATTTTGAACACATTTCGAAGAAAAAACACAGAACTTGCGGTAAACCTGTATACTTGTCAAATTTATAGAAACCGCCATGTGTAGGTATTGGTATATTTAAAATGTTAAGAAATAATAATTATCCAGCTCCACGGTCGTGGTGCTAGCTAAGTAAAAAAAAAAATAACTGCACGATGGTGTGTGTATAGTATATCGAAGCAGGAGTTGCCTATTTACAATGTGTAAAATACAGGTAAATTTGTTATACGACATAACTAATTTCCTAATGCATAAATTAACTCCTAGTAAACTCAAAAACATCAGAAATATTGTGTAAAAATCATCAAAATCGTACTTTTAGAAATTAAGCTATAAATGAAAATGTTCTAAATTTTTAATGGAAATTTATATTAAATTCAGAATCAGGGTAGCCGTCGTCGTCGTAGTCATTGTCGCATTAGCGTGACCAATGTTACCAACAATATTACCGCTCTGATAGATTATTGTGTAAATACTCAATATTTAATAACGATAAAAATGAGTGATATCACAACAAAAATCCTTAACCCTAAACTATGTGTAATAATGGCTAAGTAAAAAAAAAATTAAGATCTTTAAGCACTATAAAGATGTAATATCATGAATAAATACTACGGATATTGAATAGTAAACTTATTTTGTTTCAATAATTTATTTACTTGGCGAGGAATTATTTAGAATAGTATATTGGCAAATATTAATAATAATATTTTTAAAATAATAACAAGTTATATTTTAATAGTCCTTCGATATTTAATTATTTTGTAAATTATTTTAACACTTTGTTTCTTTTAATAAATAATTCCTACGCCAAGTAAATACAGTATTGAAACAAAATAACTTTACTTAAATTCAATATACTTAGCATTTATTCATGATATCACATCTTTATAGTGCTTAAAGTTCTTATATTTTTTTTACTTAGCTATTTTTACATGTAGTTTACGAACTACGAAGGGTTTTTGTTGTGATTATATTATATTGTATATCTAAAATGAATTGTCTATTTAATAGAGTTATAAACAATAATAAATAAAATAAAGGATTTTGTCATAATATCATGTAATATGTGAATGACAATTTATTATTATTACAATAAACTGTTGGCTCTGATCGTCATCATTTTTTTATATATAATTTATAAATACCTACCTGATAACTAATATAATATGCAATCATTTAGCAAACATCTCTAATATAAACCTGTAAATGTCATGATTTGTACGCAATTAGATAGTTAAAATGTTAAATATCTATTTATTTCGAAATTAATTTTTATACTAAATCTATAATATGGTATAACTGGTAAACATTGTATTGCAGGACGTCGTCAATGAGTGACTGCCGTTATTGTTAACTAATAGAATTACGTCTGAAAGAGAAAGCCGTCTACAGTCTCATATCTCAATCTAACCTTTATATTTAAAGAATAAAATCGTATGTTTGATAAATAATGAAGTGCCGGTTAAATTTATCGTCTTACAATGGCCTACTCTAACTGACCAGACTGTGAAAATAGTTTTTCTATCATATCGATAACGTTTAATATGAAAAAAATTATTACATTATTTTACAAACTAATGTTAAATATTATTATTATTTTATACGACTGATAGGAAAACAGGAAAAACAATTATTAGGTAGTAACACAGAAGTGCGATAGAAATTGTCACGAATTAAATTAATACATTTTCTGAACTACCTTAAACAAGTATAACTACTCCACCTATACCTAATTACCTGTTCTGCAAATTACCGGAAATAATCGACTAGGCTGTATATAGGTAACTAATAAAATGTGACGATTCGTACGTTTCTACAGTAATTTGTTTGATAAAAATTGTATAAGTTTCTCAATCATTTTCAAACGATAACCTATATAATATTATTTAGTTACGTATGTAGGGTAACTGTAGGTTTGTGATAAAATCTTAATAATATCGTATGTGTCTAGTGGTAATAATATTATACAAAAATTCCACGTTGCCTTCGTGGATTTTACGCAGACAATTACAATATTAAACTACATTCATCAACATAGAAATTTTTTTGTAATCGTTTCAAGTCTGTTGTGATATATAAATATATATATAGGTATATCATACAATATATACATTTTATCTAATTAAAAATCCTGCCAACTCTCAATAATCAATTTCTGGCTCTAATGTGGAGCTTGTTAATCAATTTAAAGATTTTTGGTATAATTTTTGATTCTAAATTAAATTTTTCTCCTCATACTGAAATGATAAAAAAATAAACATACACTTAGGGTATTTTAGGGTTTATTAAACGTAGTTGTGGTACATTCTCAGATTCTATTACCTTAAGAATCCTCTACTTCTCTATCGTCCGTTTTAATCTAGAGTACTGTCCCCTCATCTGGATAAAAAATACATCGAAACAAAATCTCAAGCTGTAATCTATCCAAAATAACTTTCTACGTTTTATCTCTTTTAAATTCAACATAAACAGACTTCTCCACGACACATAATATAATAATGTTTTAAATTTTCTTAATATTTCTCTACTCTCTGCACGTCGTACACTTTTACTCTCTACATTTTTCAAAAACTGATATTAAGTTCAATTAGTTGTCCTGAAATTCTTTCTTTAATCCGTTTTAAAATTAAAAACCATAATAGGTACTAGTGATCCAAAACCTTTTTATTCATTTTTTTCAACTAAAAATTATATCTTGAACTCTCCTGCTAACCTTCTTATGGCTGCAGGTAATGCTTTTGTCTGTGATTATATTTGAAAATTTTATTTTTATTATTTTTTAAGATTATATTCGATTTGTACCTATTCTATATTTATTTTTAAGTCTTATTATTATATATAATCTGTAATTAAGTAAAAACTATAACTTATTGTATTATGTTGTTATTGTTTACACGCATTGTTAGTAAAATTATGTTTTAGGACTCACGTCAGTTTATATTAAATAAATAAATAAAATATGTCCGGATAAAATCAATTTAATATTTTTTGGTCTCTCGTTACAAATAGTGTACATTTTAAGAATGTCGACGGCCGATTTCGCTTCACGTTTTACGGAGGTGACATGGCCGACTGCGGTGGACTTTCGAGATGTATTTGTGGTTCGGGGTCGACAGGTTCGCCTCGATTGCAACGATGAGGGCAAAAGAAACTAAGACGACGTCGATGGCGCCCAATACCACTAAGTCGAAGTCGAATTATATCAAACCGACGACAAAGACGTCATTGACGAGAGAGTCCGAATGCGACTTCGTCTGAGGGCGGGACTCAGAAGATGGCATCGTGCAGCATCCGAAGCATCCGTTCTTCACGGTCAGACTCTCTCGCCAATGTTGTCGTTGTTGTTGGATTCGCCTTCGACGTCGCGGTCTTGGGCGCCATCGACGTCGTACCAGTCTCCTTAGCCTTCGTCGTGTTTGCCATCGACGTCGGCTTAGTTTCTTTTGCCCTCGTCGTAGCAATCGACTTCGGCTTAGTCATTATCGACGTCGGTTTGGTCCTCGTCGTTACTGGTTTTTGATCGCCGGGTTTTCCAGCGTCGTAGCTTGGGTGCGAACCGAATACATACGTGCACTCGTCGACGTTGTGCCAACTCAGTTTTCTCGATGACATATTTGATTTTTGACGATGTCTTCTTGTGGCTGTACAGCGAATATAAGAATAAAAGTATTGTTTTCACAATAAGTTTTGTACTTTTGTATAATAATTTTAATAATAATAATAAAGCACCGCAAATAAAATAAATAACGAAAACCTAACGATAGAAACGACTACATGGGCACGTGCAGTTTGTGACCAAGTATAATAGTATAAAATATGTATAATAATATAACATCTCCGATCGTTCGCGCCAGCATGTGTAAGTAATATACAGAATGGTTGTTGTAAACTCGTTCTAAAAATTATAGCTTTTTACGAAATCGTCTTTATTACAACGAGCTGGTATACCAGTGCAATTCTAACACTTTAGATTGCTCTTATTTATGTTGACGAAACCACTATCTACAATCTACATAGTACATATCATGTGTTTTTTAATTTTTAAGTGAATATTCTATATGATTTTTTTTTCATAATTCAATTAAACAATTTTTTTTATAACAACGTTGATGTATGAATCTTGAATTTTTAAAATGATTATTATTAATAAACAAATAAAAATACTCGTTCTCCAATAGGTTGATTTGATAGTTTTTATAAATCATAATTTTTATAAAAATTTGTTAATCAAAATAGAAGTTGTAATATGAAAACTTCCAAAAATGCCTATAAAAAGACAATGAGCATAATATAACTACTCCGACACTCCCCAAAAAAAAACACTGAAGGCCCGTAAGATCCTTGATAACCCTCTCACACTTCACCAAACCCTCAATAATGAGAACACAATCAGTACATTTTTCCAAAATTCAAACCTAAACCATAAATTGTTATTTGTTACAATATGTCAATATTTGTATTAAAATTGAATATATAATAGTACTTATTTTTCTTCTAAATATTAAGTTAAAGTAGGCTAAAAACTCTCCAATTGAAGCCTTTTACCAAATATATATAATGTATATTAATAAAAAAAGCTGATAAAGTCGGTGTCGCTCTGCTGTACATCAGGTTAAAAGTGGGTCACGTGGATGGTGATCAATTTGAATTCAATTATATAATAACATTGTACACGAAAAACTCTTCTGAGCGGAGACGGGTTGTCAGCCAAGGATACTCTATATTATATTTATATTATTATTATTATTATTATTATTAATACAGTAGCCGGTTAATATTATTTGTATATAAATATACTTTAGAAGTTTCAAGTACCCACGAATTATATTTTTAAATTATAACACAAAACTAAAATCGTTCTTCTTTGCTTAAATATCTAATTTCGTACAAACTTGAATTTAAAACTACAAAAAAAAACTCTGTTTATATATTCTCCATATATTTTGATTACAGTATGAACTTTTTACATCGAGCCTTATTATACATTTTTAATCCTTAGCTTTAAAAATTGAAATCTTTATACATTTTTAACGGTAAAATAATTATTTTCAATATGATAAATATTAAATTTTGTCGAAATGTCAATTTGAACGCTTATAAAAAAAATCTTGTCAATGTATTTGTAATATTTTTAAACTGATATTGTAACCATGTGTGAGGAGCCTTGTATTACATTTTAAAGCTTTTTCACCCAACAAATACAATTTTATAGATATTTAAATAAACAATTTAAAATTGATTTTAACCTACCGAATGTACCAACTAGATTAATTTTTTTATCGCAATAGATACTGAAGTAGAAAATCGAAGCATTATTTCGACTATACTTATCGTGTACACAGACACGGACAAACACAGCCAAAAAAAACACTCACATCATTGTAAAATCAATACATTCATCTCACCATTCAAAAAAAAAGGGAAAGCAATAAAGCTGCATAATAATAATAATATGTCGTGTTTTCATTTTCTAAAGACATTTAATAATTTTTATATTAATGAGTGTCAACGGTTAAAAGAATCACTCCGTATGTATGCACCGTATGTACAATATAACATACATATATAATAACATAATATTGTAATAACTAATAAGTGTAATAACCGTCATAATATACCTACAACCTGTTTCTTCCCATATCTCGAGTGGTATATTATACTCTCCAGTCCGTATTAATATATGTGAACGATGACACATTATTTTGCGACTCACACGAGGCCTGAAATAAATCACGCCGGTGTTGTGGAATACTTTCGTAATAAATTGTGTCGTATGTACGGCAAGGCAGCCAATGATGATTTCAACGATTAATTTAGTTTGACCAACTGTGATGGTCAATTTTATTTTGAACGATGGGTGACATAATATATTATTATTATTATGTAGACTGTACGACGTGTGATTGCATCGAATTGATAGTGATGTCCACACGGACGTCAATCTTGTTTTTTTTTTTTATTGATCACAATAACATCGACAACAAAGGCCATTAGTTAATCTTGTTTATCATTCGTTATTATTTTCTTGATAAGCTAGGGAATCGGAGAAGGCTTGTACATTTTTTTTTTATATACTTCAAGAATATAATGGGCTCCACTTAACATGTTCAACAATTTGAAATATAAATGAAATACATAATATACAATATTATATAATATAATAATGTACAGTTTATATTTTCGGCCGTATAATGTATACAGTTTATAATATAATATTATTATAGTCGACCGTCTGCAGTGCAGTATATTATATGCGTATAGCCTAAACCCTGGTAAATCTTCTACGGCCAATAGTCGCCTATAGATAATCATGAAATGTGGGTGTGAGTGCTTTGTGCATGCGTTGTGCTTAACTGTATACTATTATTATATATCACTCTATAAAATAACAGTTTCCTAATAAACAGCGATTTACAGCAGAAAATGTAATCCTCATGTACTGCAGTGCTCGGCACGTGATGCTCGCGCATATACGTTTAATGATAAACTAAATGCGAACCATAATATTATTATACAATTATACTGAAATTGAAAACTTTGTATTACACGTTACCGAACGCCGACTACATAATATTATGTATACATTTTTTATTTCGTACCAGATTTATGACTTGGGCATAAAATAATATCGTACAGCAGCGACCTGTTTAAAATTTAATTTTCTACGATACGCACGATATAGTGTGTAAAATAATATTATTATGCTATCGATCTTGACAACGTGGCGGCGCCCAGGATGATATTTATTTTATTTTGTGAATTAAACCACGACAGTGTGTAGTTGTAATTTACGCACGCCGTATCGCCCAAAATGTTTATACAAATCGAATCGACAGCAACCGCGGTATCAAGGGGACTATTATGTAGGTATATTAAACTATATTCAAACGCGAATCAGGTTAGGTTTGTATAAAAAAAAAAAAATAAGAATAATAAATAAAGTACCTATACCTATGCTATTATAGGTACTTATAAAATAATATTATACGAATTACGTAATAGATGCTGCACGACATTTAACCGGCTGCACTATAATAATATTATCTATATATACGTTGTTTTATTATTGTATTTTAGAAAAAGAAAAAATAACGATTTTACAAGTACTTTTAAAATTGAAATACATAACTATTAATAATCTACAACACTTCAACATTTATTTGTATGAATAATATTGCTACAGTGGACAGTGGTGTTGTTTTGGGTTCCTTAGTTTTTTGCAACGAAAACATATGTATTAATCATAAGCAAAATATTTTTGAGAAAAACATTGATATATGCTTAAATTTTAGACGACTGGTGTAGGTAATATGTCTAGGGGTATCAAACAAAAGTTGTGATCCATTACTCATTGGTAACTCTACCATTCCATCCTAATAAACTTTAAACGCTTATTAATTAAAAACCATTCGTTCATTGCCGATATTTATACGTAAAAATCTTAAAGAAAGCTTCTAAAATAAAGACGTATTAAAAAAAAAAATTGGTGGTCTGCTGTACAGTGTACAGTAGGTTACAAGTGGGGTCACTGTATAATGGATGGTATTAAATTTGAATTCAATGATATAATATCATTGTATAAGAAAAACGATTCTAAGGGGAAATAGTATGTCAGCCTAGGTGTAAGACATATTATATACTTATCTATGGCATTAAAAAAAAATGACCTGTATAATAGGTACCTATAATAAATTCCAAATTAATCATACCACAATACCCATGAGGTACTTATAACGCATTATACATCAACAACAAACCCTGATACTATCATAGATGTATAAAAGTGTACTTTAGAAGTTTCTAGTATCCACGGATACACCCACAACAAAATAACTAAAATAGTTATTCTAGGTTTTTATAATGCAATTTCGTCCAAATTTGAACTTAAAATGACTATAAAAATAAACGGTGCTTCCGTATTTTTTAGACTTTTTAGTAACAAAATGAACTATTTAAGTGAAATCTTGTTTTAAATTTTCAATCCTAAGATATAAGAGTTGAACATTTTATAAATTTTTAACAACAAAATAATTGTTCAATTTTAAATTTGATAAATTTTGTCAAAATTCGATCTTTAAATACTTATAAAAAAAAATTGTGCCTATGTATTTTTAATATTTTTCAACTGATATTGTAACAATATATCAGGAGCCTTGTATTAAATTTTTACACTTTTTGGACTTCACCTTATATTTATAGAAAAAAACTAAAACAATTAAAAACTGAAAATGTCCGTAAACAGCTCAAAAAGAGTCAAAATATTTTCAAAATTGTATGGTGTATAGGAAATGCTAATATAAATATTCAGTGAAATTTTCATGTATCTACAGTTATTCGTTTTTGACTTACAACAAAATAAGGAAATCGCTACATGAGAAATCGAGTGAATATCCAATGTTGTAAAAATTTGAATTTCAAACGCTTATAAAAATGTAATTTGACTTTCCAGTAGAGGATTTAAAAAGAAAAATATTTACTAATTCGTAACTCTAAATAATTTGCTAATTTTCGTGATTTTTCCATATTTTGTCAATTTTTGAACTTTAAATGCTTATGAAAAAAAAACTGTGACTAAGGATTTTTAATATTTTTCATCTGCCTTTGAAAAAATA